AAAAAGGAAAAAAAAAAAAAAAAAAAAAAGTAAGTACAGATTGGGAACTAAAAAAAAAAATAGGAAACTTTGTCTTGTCACTTGTCTCCACATGACCATAGGTGGATTCACCCCTCTTAATAATATGTGTGCTATGTCGACCAAAAAATCTCTCTAGCTTTGGGCAATTTCGGCACCCATAGTGACCACGACTAGCATGCTTCCCATGACCTACAATCAGACCCCAAACTACTTCACCCAAATGTGTATGGTGTCAGTCATTTATCAGCGTAATTCAGAAACCTCTAAAGGACCCTTATACTAGATGTTATGAGGATGTCTCGAACAATCTGTGATGATGTCGAGATTTCTCATCTCAATGGCATGCATGAAATTGCACTTCAGGTGTACAAAAATAATCATAATTCAACAAAGTATGCAGAAAATTGAAGTATCAAATCAGTACACGAAATTTACGAGAATCATTCGAACTTTGTTTTTCCCCAAAATAAGGAAACGCTTAACCAAACTTGTGAAGGGCCAACACAACCTGCTTCCTCATCACCTCTCCCTCTTTGCCTAATTTATAAGTACTCGACACTTTAGATATAGGCCAAATTATCATGCAACCATTGATCTTCCATCTAACTACGCAATTGATTTTTGACAATCTTTATTGTAGAGAATACTTTCTCCATCGTATCAGTAGCCTCTAGAAGAATTATTACTAATGTCACAAGCATATACACTAACGGATACATATTTTTTCGTCACAACCAACTTTTCTACAAGATCACTTGGGTGTAGTAACCCTTCAAAATCTTCATGAGTGTACATATCAAAATAATATATGTCTACATTTGCTCATCTAGTACCAAGATCTCTACTAAATATTAACATTATAATCCATAATTTGAGTTCNTCAAAATAATATATGTCTACATTTGCTCATCTAGTACCAAGATCTCTACTAAATATTAACATTATAATCCATAATTTGAGTTCTTAATCTAGCTAAATAAATTTTTCCATGAACATCTCTTTTATTTCAAGTATCTGATTCTTCCAAATCATCTCTTTTTACTTGATCACTCGTTTCATTAATATTTTGCTCTTCACTCGAAAACACATTTTCGTTTAAAATATTTATCCACCACATTACAGATCTATTTCAAGAAATAAATAAATATTTCTATTTCAATAACAATGCTAATAATCTATTCCAATAAATAGTTAAAATTGTAAATACACAATTGCACAGAAATTCCTTAAGATGAGAAAAAGTGCCTACAACAATAATCCTAATTAACTGGAAAAAAAAAAAAAGCATAAAAAGTGCCTACAATCGTAAATACACAATTGTACAATTATAATCGAAAAGCCCCAGCAACCCTAGATCACTAGAAATACTGATGGAGCCAACCTATTGCACGGAGTAATTTCTGCAGTCAAAGGAACAGAAAATAAATGTTAGAATAAATTCTTGATTGAAGAGAAAGTGGGCCATAGAGGAACAGAAAATTAATAGGAAAATTGATGGACAGATTCCAAAAATATGTCTCTTATTTTACGCCCCAAGTAAAATCATACATAAATTTAAAACCTTATCCACACAAGTCAAATCAATAACCGTAAAATTCCATGCATGGTTGAAGAATAGAGAATAGAGAATAGAGATTGGAGATTGGATAAGAATGATTTATGTGGGTTGAAGAATTTATTATAAAGATCGAAAATTGGAGAACAATTTGTTTTGGGACTTGTGTTCTTCCTATTTTGTTAATGTTTGTGAGAGGAAAAAGAGGGGGGAAAAATAATACAAAAGTTAAATACATAATTGAAACTGAAAAAAATTAGAAATAGAAAACTTTGTCGGGTCACTTGACTCCACACGACCACAGGTGGATCCGCCCCTTTAAATAGCTCACACCAAAAAAAAAAGAAAAAAAAATTCTCTCTAACTTTAGGCAATTTCAGCACCCATAGTGACCACGACTAGTACATTTCCCAAGACCCACAATCGGACCCTAAACTACTTCACCTGAATGTCCATGATGTCAGCTATCTGTCAGCATAATTCGAAACATCTAAAGTGACCCACTATACTAGATTTTGTAGGGATGTCTCGAACAATTTGTGATGGTGTTGAGATTTCTCATCTCAATGGCATGCATGAAATTGCACATCTGATGTACGAAAATAATCATGATTTAACGAAGTATGTAGAAAACTACGAAATTTACGGGAATCATCCGAACTTTATTTTTCCCCAATATAAGGAAACACTTAAACCAAACATGTGAAGGGCCAATACAACCTGCTTCCTCATCATCTCTCCCTCTCTGCCTAATTTATATGTACTCAAAACTTAGATAAATGGGCCAAATTTTGGATTCCAGTTGACACCCCCAACTTCTAATGTAGTTTCTCACATTTTCAGCCTCACTAACGCCAAAACTGCCTAAATATCAAGCACATAGCAATAATTGCCTCCGACCACCATCATGTGCTTGATAACATGCCTTTTGTTTTTAAAGAACTTGTACAGAAGCAGATCTGTCAGAATATCACCAAATAGTGCTGTCGTAATATCTGGTTGGTCTGCCTTTTTTTTGTCATGTCCAGCGGAAATCTGCCAAATGTTTTTTGGTGAAATCCTGATAGAATTTTTTTGTACCAGCAGAGGTTTGTTTGTTTTTTTTGCTCTGAAAACATGTAATTTGCCAACCCTAGTAACGAATGAAAAATCTTGTTTGTAGTGTTCTAGTGACTCTCCTAAACACCCTCTAAAAAGTGCGTTCGTTCCAACCCTCAACCCTCTTTTCTAGATTCATCGATATTGAATCAATCGAACGCACAAATATTCCTTTAATTGATAGAGTTAAAGTCCAATTCTAACTTTAACTTGTCAATTGGCATCCAAATTCACGTGGGATGCTCCCATATTTAGAATTTAATTTAAAATCTTAAGCAGATAACCTAATCTTCCTTGGATGGACAAAGTCACAAACTGTCTTCTCTATCATAATTGTGGAAGAAAAACATAGTTTGCATTTTCAAATCCTACGTCCCATCAATTTTGCTTTAGAAATTAGGCATCGAATATACAATTAGACATGTAACACTTGGACAGCGTACTTTGGCCTACAAATATTTCAAATCATAACGTTAGTCAAACGTTATGATTATGTTTTTGAAATCTTTTAATTTCATGTGCGCCCAATTGGATCAAATAAGTTCGTGACAATCTAAACCTTGTTTGACTTATTTTAAAATAAAATAATTTACTTTTCATACTCATTTTTAACCATACAGTCACACAATAAAATATTTTATCTATAAATTAAAGTTTTTTTTTTCACTTTTTATCCACACGTTCTCTTAAAAATCACTATTTAAAAAACTATTTTTACACAACAGAGCTAATTTTAACTTATCTTTGCCCCTTTCTAACTTATTTATCTTTAAAGTTAATTTTAAACAAATTTTAATTAATTAGACTCCAACCAATATTGAATAGGAAAACAGAGAAATACCTGAATTAATGTTATATCTTTTAAGACAACAATAAACTGAGATATGTTTCTAATAAAATTAATAACAACCAGAAACTTTCTTATTAATATTACTAATACAGAGTCTCTCAATCCCATTTATATAGGTTGATTTTTCTTTTTTTCTTTTTTTGTCTCGTTTATATAGTCCAATTTTTTATTGAGAAATTATTTGTTTTGTTTGTTTACTAATATAATCTTATTTAATTTTCCTAGTTATAACCAATTCCTCCTACTTAATATTGAAATTGTACAGATTTTAATTTAACTTCTTGAAAAATATCCAAATACACATACATTTCCCACTTCTTCTTGAAAAACATGAACAAAAATACTTTTTCCTTTATTTACTACTAGTTGTTAATAAGCGTAAACTAGAAAAATTCTTTGTAGAAATTACTTTTTCAATAACTTTAGATAAGATTTTCTTAATCTGTATGAGAAATAAAATCAGCCTATATAAATTGAACGAATGGAGTATAATATTAAACGCAATTAATGCACTAAAAATCACAACAATCTTAAACCCTATTTGATTTATTTTCTTTTATCTAAATCAAATAGCGACTTAATGTGTTTTGATTTATATTTCAATCTGTTAAAGTGTTTTAAAAGAGTTAAAATATATTAATTCACAATAACTTTGAAAAACAAGCGACAAGTTGCTATCCCAATATTATATATTCAAGGAACGAAAAAAATGCATAATGGAACCTATCATGCTCAAAAGAGTCAAAACACACAAAATTCTCGACACTAAAATATTCATTTGTGTAATTATTTTTGAATATCATCTCTAGACGGATAAAGACCCACAAAAATAAAAAAAAAGGAATATCAAAGATCAAAACCCAAAAGTTTGGACAAATTTAGCACCCTTTCTTACAACACAAGATATTTACAAGTTGACTATCTTTTTCTTTTTCTTTTTCTTTGTCTCTGTCCTCCGAATTTTTCTCTGCCTTCCATTACGGTTTGGCTGATAAAGATTGCATGGGGCCCATGTGGAAACATATCAAACTGACACATCATACTGATGTTCTTGCGGATGGAGCGGCGTCGCCGGATCTTGGCTGCCGTAAAACCTCAATCAGTGCTTCCGACTGTCACGCAAAATCACACGCTGGTCAGATAGTCGTACAGTTATCCTATTTGCTTTATGTAAAAAATCAACAATTTTAAGAGTCAAATCAATCTTAAAAAAGAATAATGGAAGCTATAGCTTACCTTATGTTTATCTTCTACTATTTTGAAGGATGACCGTATTAAGGTCCTTGGTAGTGATTTTTCACCTTCAAGAACTGATTTTTTTTACTATAATTTCAACCGTCATTTTTTAGCTTCTTCACTTGTAGGTGAGCCCCACTTTTTTTTTTCTAATGATCAAGAAAATAAATTTTCATAATCACTGCCTAACAGACCCTAAAATTACTCTATTTGTACAAAATCCTGTACAAACATATTTATAGGTACCAGGCTTATAGGTTTTTTTTTTTTTTTTTTGTCCAACTTTCAATGAAATATTACTAAGTGAATTCCTGTAAATCAATCTGACAACATGTTCCTACGCGCATAGCACAGTTATTCTATTAGCACCTTTGAAAAGGATTAGATACTCTGTCCAATGAACATTACAATTTCTATTTTTCGACAGGACGACAATGAAAAACGCCCAACTGGACCTATTTGGGTGCCGATCTAAACAATTTCCTCTACTTTTTGTAATTTTTAAAAAATAATATTAAGAGAATTAAAATCGCAAAAACCACGTCCTAGATAACAAGGCCATTTAGGTTGTGTTCAAGCCGAGCAAGGATTTAAAAACCCTACGACCATATTTTTCTCCTTTTAAAACAAAACTTTTTATTCTCTCATTCATTTTCCACTACATATTCACATAATAAAATATTTTGCAAGTAAACTCAAAACTCATTCCTACTTTTTAACCACATATTCTCCAAAAAAATTACTATTCAAAATATTTTTTTTTTCTCTATAATGACAATCAAATAAGAGCTAAATATATCCTACGATGTTTCCTCATATAAAATAACTAGTATGAAACCGTATATGATGTCACAAGCTTCTTGATCCTTGTTATCTCTCAATACAATTTTTACATCTCATCACATTACAGTTTCTTAACAAAAAGAAAGACGTCAAGTGTAATATATCAAAGCGTCAAAGTCATGTTGGTCCTTGCCATTGCTAAGAAAATGTGATGTATCAAGCTATAGAAAATGTATTGAGTGGACAATCGAGGAACAACAAATCCAGAACAAGGACTCAAAAATTTCAATGTTGGAATGTGTATTTGAAGACGATACTAAAATCAGCCAAACTTATCAATTGTCACTATGTTCCAAACCAATTTCGACAAGTTCAAGACTGGGCAATCTACACAATATTGCTGAAAAATTAGCACTACTTATTCCTTCCTTATCATCAAAGAAAGCAAAGCAAGGACCAACCAACCCAATACCATTTTTTGTCTATGAAATAAAAATAAAAAGAAAAAGGTTGGACGGTCGCGAAATAATCTCCATAAGTTTTATTTTATAGGGGCTCTAAAAGTAGTTTCTCTTACTTAATTCATACAAAAAGGAAAGAACTTCTTGTGACCAATGCCTAAAATATAAAACAATCCGACCACTAAGAAGTCTAGTGGCTTCTCTAATCAAAGATGATAATCTTGCTATCCAATCTTATCCAATACTGTACATAAAAAACATGATTCGATCACATCTCGACCCATTCTACTACCTCTAGATAGCATGGATTTAGCACCAAATAATAATAATAATAATAATAAAGTGTCAACTTTCGTTTGCCCAAAGTTTTCGTAATATTATAATTGGTCCTATGTGGCGACAACGTGTAAGAGACTTTGTACCACCATTGTTGATGAACCAATAACCAATATAAATTATTTCTATTCATTTGAATCCTTTTTAAGTAATTGTTTAATCACTTTAATTAAATATCTGCTCAAATCAATAATTAATTAAAAACCAATTCATCTCTACGGGGAACAAAAGAGCATGTTTGCCTATTAAATCACTTATTTTTTAATCTGTAAAAAGTTAAAAATAAATAAATAAGTTACTTATTATTCTTACCTTCTGTTTTGCGCGACTGGTACCCGTCTGCGACAAAGCAACCAATGGCGGAATCGCTCCTTCACGCGCCACCATAGTTCTGTAGGTCTTGTCTTCACATAATTGCAATAATATGCCCACCGCAACCTCCTTCTGCCGTTGGGTTCCCACCTCCACTATTTCAACCAGTACAGGAATTCCACCTTCCTCCACCACCGCCGCCCTGGCTTCCGGCGTTGACACCAATAGGTTCAACACGAACGCCGATTTATCCACCATGTTCGACTCAAAATCCGCCATTAATTCCACTAGAGGCTTCATAATCCCAGCCTGAACTGCCCTTATTTTGTTCTCCTTTACAGAACATAGAGAATACAAAGCAGTGCAAGCATCCTTTTTACCTCGGAAATTGCCGCTCCCTAGCAAATTCACAAGTGACGGAATCGCCCCTGACCGGCCTATGGCGATTTTATTCTCTTCTATCTGCGAGAGCCGAAGTAGAGCACAAGCCGCGTTTTCTCGAGCCGTTGAAGTTCCCAATTTCAACGCGCGGACTAAGGGTCTAATAGCCCCAGAAGACGCAATCAAATCCTTATTTTCGTCACAGAGTGATAAATTAAGAATGGCTGTGACTCCATATTCCTGTAATTGAGCATCATTTGACGAAATTATCGATACAAGCGGTTTAATGGCACCGGCTCTGGCGATTTTAATCCGATTCTCCGGTTTGTTCTTCGCGAGCAACCTGAGACCCATGGCGGCTTGTTTTTGATCATCTATGTCATCGGACTGGAGGTCAGAAACTAGTTGTGAAATCAACTCCTCGGAATTATCAGAAGCGCAGGCGAGTAACAGAAGGCGGCTCTGAGACGAAGCCGTCGGAAACTCGCCGGATCTATCACTGTTGCAGTCACTGAAGGCGGCGGAATCATCATTGATGTTCAAATTGCTGAATTTTCGCCCCAAATAGCTGAAACTTGAGCTAATTGAATCCGTTTCCATTCAGAAATGAAATAGGAAATTGAAAACAACAGCGTTTTAGAGCCCTAATGAATCGAAATATTTTGATTATAGGATCTACAATCTAAAGACAGAGAAGGAAGAAGAATATAAATGGCTAGATTAAGGGCGCGGGGGCGTGGGATGGAGAGAAAGGACACGTGCATGACCGAACCGAATCCCAGTGGGTACAGCACGTGTGAGGTGTCTCTTTTAACGCGTGCGGAGAAGGTTCGCTATTCGTTATAGCGTTTTCTTTTTTCTTTTTTGGCAAATCCACCACTTCTTCTTTTTTACTAATTCTTATTTCAATCTTTTATCTTTTTATATTTTATTGTCATTTTTTCTAGTTTAGTATTTATTTTTCCTTTTACTATGCCATATGTGGCTCGAATGAGAAATGAAAATGACTTAATAACTAATATATTTTCATTTTAAATTATTCTTATTTTATAATTGGCACTAGTGAATTTTTAAATATAATTGAAAGACATTATGGTATTAAGATATTCAATGTTTAACCAATGCTTAGGTTAGGAAACTACTACTTCTCGTATTTGGCTTTTTTGAGCCACGAATCTGATTTTGGGATATTTGACCTGTCTGAGCATGAGGCTGCAGGTGTCATCAGCAGGGTAGATTATATTTTCTCTTGCTATCGATATTTCATGACGTTGATAACACTGCGACCAATGCAAAAACGAAAATGATTTTACAAAAGTATTCTCAACTAAGATTTTGATAAATTTTAAAAGATTTTAAATCCTAATAAATTTCATGAATTTGAATTGATTTTTCAAAAATTTTACAATAATCTCATCAAATGTGGTAAAATTTTAAAAGATTTGAAATATGTATTTTTAAATTTGAAATCCATCTAAATCTTTTAAAATCTTTCTATGAATTTTTATAAATTCACTAGTTATTGAGAATATCAAAAATTTAACAAATTTCATGGAATTTCATTAAAATTCCAATTGAGCACATCTAAATTTAGAAGAATTTTTAAAATCCATCACAATCTCAATTGGGGACGCCCCTATTAAGCTTTCATTTTATATCAACAAGTCTTGAAATATTTTTCTATAAATGGTATTCTTTGTAAAAAATAAATGACACAAATTCAATTAAATTAACTCCAATAGAGTCGAAGAGAACTCAAACATACTGTCTAATCTACCACAGCTTATCGAAAAATCGACTCCCATTTATTGCTAAATCAACACAAGAATAGTGAAAACAGTGATAGAGCCTTCATTATTCAACCAATTCAATCTAACAAATATATTACAAATAAGAGGAAAAAGTGATCGTGTATAAATTTATAACAATTTGATAAAACTTTACTTCTCATAAGTGATATTTTATTTATAACTAATTTTAACTTAAAAACTAAAATTTTAATTTATAATTAAACTTTTTGTAAGTTAATTTTGTACTTTTAAATATATTTTTACACCCAAGTGCATTTTTACATATAAATAACTTCTTCTTTTGTATAAGTAAATTTTTTATCTTAAGAATTATTTTTTTTTTGTTTATAAATAATTTTTTAAGTTAGCGTATTAATTTGTTTACAAGTTAGTTTTGAACAATATGAGCCTGTTTGGGAGTGATTTTGAGAATTGATTTTTTGACCGTTAGGAGAAAAGTGGGGTCCACCTGTGAGAGAAGAAGTCAAATATGACGACTGGAATAGTGAAATAACGGTCAAAAAATCAATTTTTTAGGTGAAAAAATCGGACCCAAACAGGCTCCGTGAAGCGATTTTGAACCGCAAAAGCACAGAAAATAATTATTTATTAATATCAGAACTTTTGTTTGAAACTGATAGTCTATTTAATTGATGATCCATGCTTATCTTCCACTCACAAATGCATTCGAATTAGAAAGAATTCAAATAAAAAGTACTAATCTATTTTTAACTTCCATTGCCATCATTGATTATCTTTCCCCAAAAAAGAATGGCCACCTGGCACATTGCTTGACCACTTCTTTTCTCTTGCACATAACAGAAAAGTCTTATTTTACTAATTTTAAAGAGAACTTTACTCCTTGGGTGTAGGGCAACAGTTTCCATTACTTGAATAGCACATTAGAAAAAGTTGATAAACCACTTTATTTAAAAAAATTTATTTATTAAGAAATAGTAAATTTCTTTATTTAATTTTTTTTTTTTTTAACACTTTCTCTCATGTATAGATGAATTCATTGTTTGTAAAAGACTAATAACGTGCCCAACTCTTATAGATAGATAGTTTGAAATAGAAAAATTATGATCAAGAAGTTATTTTCTTTGTATTCAATTCAATTATAATTTTTATTATTGAGCCAAATGCAAAAATGGAGGGAATTCTTTATTCAATACAAAATGTCGTACAACCATGTATAAATAGGGCTTGGACTAACTAACAGAATATGCCGACTCAGAACATGCTAGCTAACTAATAGTAGTTAACTAACTAACTGAATTAAAAATGTCAATTGCCAGCTAAGCTAAGTAACTAATATTCCGATACTCCCCTCAGGGTGAATGATGCACATCAGTAACAGCCATCTTGGACAGTAGAGGAAACAAAAAGGTTGGCAGGTAAAGCTTTGGTAAAAAAGTCTACTAATTGATTCTGGGTGCGAGCAAGCAAAAGTTTGATGGACCCTTCAATAACTTTATCACGGATGAAATGGCAATCAATCTCGATGTTTTTCGTCCTTTCATGAAAGATAGGATTGTTAGCTATGTGAATTGCAGCTTGGTTATAACAAAAAAGTAGTGCCGAAGCTAGTGAGGAAATTTGGAAATCGTGAAGCAATTGATGGATCCAAGCAATTTCACTCACCATGGAAGCCAACGCCCAATACTCTGCTTCTGTTGATCTAGACAATGTTTACTACTTTTTTGCCTTCCAAGAGATCAAGGAGTCCCCAAGGAACACACAAAAGCCTATAACTAATTTCTTGAAGCTAAGCAAGCTCCCCAATTAGCATCAGTAAAAGCTCAAAGTTGTCGGGAAAAAGAAGCAAAGAATAGTAATCTTTGACTTGGAGCAGCCCTAAGATAACTTAAGAGATGATGGACAACATCAAGGTGCAGCTAGCGAGGCTGAGATGTAACTTGACTGAACTTATGAACTACAAAGGTTATGTTTGATCGAGGTATAGTCAAGTAGAGTAAGCGTCCAACAAATCTTCTGTACTGGGACGCATCATCAATTAATTCACCTTCAAATGAACTAAGGCGAGCTCTTTGATTCATTGGTAAGTTGGCTGGTTTATAGCCTAGGAAACCAACATCTTCTAAAAGTTACAGTGTGTAATTTCATTGAGAGAGGAAAATCCCATTATGAGACCCGGCTATTTCAAGACCAAGGAAGTATTTCAGCACCCCAAGGTACTTGAGTTTAAACTGGCTGTGTAAAAATGTCTTCAAAGAGTCAATTATACAGATATTTGGACCCGTGATGATGATACCATCAACGTATACCAACAAGCCAATAAATGTGTTTCCAGACCCTTTAATAAACAAAGAGTAATCTTACTTTGATTGCTAAAAACCATAAAGAATAAGAACCTGAGAGAACTTAGAGAACCATTGTCGAGATGCCTATTTAAGGCCATAAATGGACCCATGAAGTTTGCAAACTTGTTGTCCTCCCTTTGCAAGATCCTTATTTGTTTTAAGATAACCTAAAGGCAGCTCCATATATATTTCTTCAAAAAGATCTCCATTAAGAAATGCATTGTTGACATCTAACTGGACAAGATTCCATTTATAGATAGTAGCAATAGCAAGAAGCATTTTGACAGTCACAAGTTTGGCAATAGGAGAGAATGTTTCAATAAAATCTAAGCCTTCTTGCTAGGTATAGCCTTTGGCCACCAAGCGAGCCTTGTATCTATCTATACTTCCATCAGGCTTATATTTGATTTTATATACCCATTTGCAACCAATGGAGTGTTTGCCCTTAGGTAGAGTAGTCACTGACAAGTATTTTTTTGTTCCATTACAACCAATTCAGATGCCATAGCCTCTTTCCAGTGCTACAACTACATAGCTTGGTGGTAAAATTGAGGCTCAAAATTGGTGGAAACATTAAGGAGGTAATTTCTATATGAAGGGGAAAAAGCAGCATAGGAAATGAACTTGGATAGGGGTATTTTGAGATGTATTTGTCATGAGATTACAATGGAATTCTCGAAGATAGAAAGGGCTTTACTGACTTTAGTTGATCTTCTAGGAAGAAAGGATGAAGGCTGAGAAGAGTATAGTACTTGTTCCTCAATGAAATCTGGAATTGAGGGTAAAGATGTAAAAGGAATGAAGGGCAAGCCAGTGGAGCCTTGGCTATTATCATTGTCATCCAAAGGAAGGTTGGAAGTTGTGGTTGGATTTGAGTGATAGGATATTAAATCAAATGCAATGTGTGGTAAAACAATGTCAGAAAATGGATCAATGAGATCAGTTGTGTGAGGTATGGAATGGAAAGGAATGTGGTTTTCATGGAACACATCTCTGGAAACAAAAATGATTTTGATGAGATGTCATGCAATTTATAGCCCTTCTAACTTGGAGGATGTCCCATGAAAACACATGCTGTGGCTCATGGATAGAATTTACTTCTGTGAAATGATAGTGTTAAGGCAAAACAAAGACACCCAAACATTCTGAAGAAGCTGTAATCTACTGGAGTACCATACAATAGGGAAAAATGAGTGTTATTTTTCAAAATTGGTGAAGGAGTTCCGTTGATAAAAAAAAATGTGGCTGTGAGTACACTCCCTAGAATTGGATTGGAATCCCTGACTAAAAAACAAAGCTCGAGCCACATTAAGAAGATGTTGATGCTTTTTTTTTTTCAACCGTTGAATTTTGCTAGGCCGTTCTACATAAGAAAATTGGTGGATTACTCCTTTGGAATTGAAAAACTCAAAACACTGCAGTTCAGGTGCATTATCTGATATAAACTTCTTGATCACTTTGTGAAATTGTGTTTCAATATCTTAAAGAGTCTATAAATGATGGAGTGGACATTTGACTTTTGTCTCATGAGATAAACCCATGTAAAATCGTGTGCAATCATCCACCAATGTCAGGAAGTATCTATGTCCATGATAAGGTCCCAAATGTCACAATGGACCAAGTCAAATGCATTAGGTGACATGTAATTGTTG